TTCTAAAAAATAAATTATTTGCTCTGACCAACACTCGCTGGCAGGATGGAAAGATGTGTTGTCTTCAAAAGAATCGCCATTTACCAGAGCCAGAAAATGTGAAAACACAAAATGTGTCTGATTTTCAACTTTTGGACAGTCTTTGAACTACTCATCTGTGACATGCAGTTCATTTGGGAAACTTCACCAAATATGAAAATTATGATATTTCACCAAAATCATCTTATTCAACATGTATCATTTAAAAATCTCCTCCCCCAAAAAATATACAATTCATAAAATTCAGATTCTGTAGAAAACAAAAAATTCTACACTCTTCAGTACAACTGTGAAGCCATGAGTAACTCAGCTGCAACCAACAGTCATGTGACAAAAAATCAGGGAGTTTTCAGCCGAAGTCCGGGCAGTGTTTACACAGAGGGAATAGTAGGCAAGTATAGAGATAAATTAAAAATCTACATAGTAAAATACCTACTGTATAGAAAGTCTGAATTTTCATTTATAAGAAAATGTTGTACATGTTGATTCCAGGTTTTTTCAATTTTTTGTAAAATAAATTATCCAAATTATCCAATAAATAAACTTCTGTTTTTATTTTCTTCTTCTATGATTCAAGGCATAACATACGGAGCCCCTAAAGGGATATGTTAAAAAAAACACCCTCAAGTATCTCGTGCGCAGAAGTTACTATCTTAACGGGATACGTTTCTTGTGGGAATGGGAGTTCAGTAAAGTTGGAAAGATATTCAAAGACTCAAACTTACGGCATCAATAACTCCAAAGCCAATCGTTTTAAATCAAATGGCACCTCTTTCCAAACGTTGTAATACAGACCACAACCTACAACTGGCCAAAATCATGTCCCTTTAGGAGAACCATTTGAGTTCTGTCTCCTTCTGTTCATGGTTGTGCTCTTTCTGTAGAGGTGTAGGACTTGATATTGCAGCGAAACAGCGAGTAAAAATGTGACAAGAGCAAAAAACACCCATAAACAGTGAGGTAGAGATACCTAATTAGTATATCACACATTTGTCTGACTATGTAGCCACCCAGTAGGTGATGCAGTATTTCACAGGGATTGAGGCTCATGAAATCAGCTCTGATGGCGTTTATAGAAAAATATTATGTTATTGTGGTAACATTCATGCAAAAACGGCATAAATGCATCGTTTGCTTTAAATGTATTCAGTATATATGAGCTACAGATCTAAGCCAGATAAATGAAAAAGCGTTGCCTTATTTATTGCTGCATGTAAAAACCATATCCCTCATAGTCACATGAATCATTTAAATTAATGCAAATTTAATAACAATCGCATCCACGTGAACCGTGCCACTCACCATTGCCAGAGGGATGATAGCCTGAATGTCTCGCTGGACCACTGTCAGCTCCGTCACCACCTTCTCTGAGTCGGGCGGCGGGTTCTGGCCCTTGTAGTCGATGTTCCAGTTGATCCTTCTGGTCACCGAGAGGCTGGTGAAGTTCTCCATCTCGAAGTCCAGCTGCATCACCTCCACGTTTCCCAACACGTCCCTGCCAAGGAGAAAGAAAAAAAAGTGTAAGAAGAAATCCTGGTGATGCATTCATTTTCTGTTAATGAAATAGTCGACCGGACAGCTTTTAATTATTAAACGTGCCATTTAGCGAGCTGTCGCCACACTGCTCTGCATTTATTTTTAAAGTTTTCCCCAAGTTAAGCTTGAGTTGAAAAAAAGAAATAATGTATTCATTAATGCTTCAACATGTGAAAGTAAAAGCTCCAAAGCCGAGCTGATATTCTACATTTAGAGCAGCTTTTTTTTTATTGGATCTTAAATAACAGGACTGTAGTAGCTGAGTTGATCACTTTCAGAAAACAATTTCACAGCTTTTTTCTCTTATATTGAAAAGAGCTGAATGCATTTCAACACTGTTGAGATTTCTCTTGGAGAAATGAATCAATATTCACAAACGCTGCCCAGACAAGATCCAAGAAAAAAAACTAGGATCTAAGTCTTGCTGCTGCTGGAGTCGGTTTCTATCACAGCATTTCATTCAGTCAACAGCAGCATAAACAGCCTCTTCAGTCATATTTTCACATCTCAGATCTCCTGACAGATACACGGCAGTGAACATTGCTATAGGATCTTAAAGGTCATGGTGTACTTTTACATTCTGCAGCTTCAGGACTGTCTTTCCTTTAGAAAAATTACTTTACTCACATGCATTTCACTGCTTGAAGTGAAAAAACATCCCCCAAAAAAGTCACATTAATGATATTCGGGTTTAATGTTCACACAAAAGCCATTAAGAGACAATGCACCGGCACTATTAGCAGGTTTGGTTAATGTGATTTCCAGCCATTATGATAAGTAGTTTCAGTTCAAATATGTTTTGAGCAAATGAATTCAAGGTGGTGACTCCGCTGAAGTGTATTAACATATGATTCATTCTTTCACGCAGCAGTTTAATCTTTATTGTCATGATACTTTGATAGTTGTGTTTTTGTCTGGTCACAAAAACTTGACACTAAACGTTCCTTCTGTAAAACTAACAAATGATGCACCAGTGAGTTAATCTGTTCTTACCTGAGCTTGCAAAGCGAAGAACAAAGTTAAAGCTTTCTCTGGTAACATTTCATTTTGCAGACGAGTATATTAAACAGCACAGCTTGACTAATTATCAGATATTTAGCATTTTTGCAAATGTTAATATCACTAGTTCTTTAAAATTCATTCCTGATCAAATAAATGAATGTAAAAACGCACTTGCTTCTTTCTACTTGTAATCATTTCTCTGTGGTATTGAGCAATGTCCCACTTAACAGCTAGATAAATGTTGAAAAGTTCTCTTCACATGTAAACAAAGGCATTTCAATGTAGGTTTGTGTTGGAGTTTGAGTTATTCTAAATTTTGACACAATTCCTTTTTATATTTACTACAAATGCTGTTTGTATATGCAACAAATATCAGTTATTCTTAATTACTAATAATCAGTATTATTTCTGAAAAAGAAAAATACATCAGTTGACTCCGATTAAACAGCTGTAGAGGATCAAACAGCCAGTGTTTTGCAGAGTTTATGCTTTTGAAAGAGTAAAAGCAAAAACACGCAAACCGTAATTTAAAAAAAAAAAAAAAAAGTAATTTAGTAAAAGCTAGTCTTGCAAAGTCTTGCAAAGAGACCTTGAGTTAAAGTTATTTTATTATTTTATACTTATATATGTCCATCCATCCATCCATTATCTATACACCGCTTAATCCTCACTAGGGTCATGGGGGGCTGGAGCCTATCCCAGCTGACTTAGGGTGAAGGCAGGGGA